GTCTGTTTGATTGTTTTGTGTCTGTTTGATTGTTTTGTGTCTGTTTGTGATTGTTATGTGTCTGTTTGTGATTGTTATGTGTCTCTTTGTAGTAGTTTGTGTCTTTGTGGTCATTTGAGTCTTTTTGTAATTCTAAATAACTAACAGAGACATGTTAGAGCCCCCCCCACCCCTCATGCATAGGAGCCAGACCTCCAGTCCGTTTTGTGTTTGAGTCTATTTTGTAGTAAAACAAATAACATATTCCAACATTTAATAAAAAAGTTCATTATTAACATTTTATGAGTTTGTGGATCAAAAAACACTTCCTCATTATGTTGAGAAAGAGACTAGTCGGTGATCATTATGTTTTCCCAAAACATATTAACTATTCAAATATAAATATGATGAGTTGAGTCTCGGTGGTGCAGTCCAGTCAATAAGCTGATGATATAATATACACAGAGCACTAATGTTACTGTAGATATTAAGAGTTAATGTTCTTGGAGCTCTCAGAGTCTGTTAGTTTTTGAATGGTTGTGTTGATCTGTGTGCGAGTAGTTAGAATCCTTGTTCATATAATCTGCTCCTCCAGTATATAGCTCACTATAAGGGAATATGTGATGTGTTTCTGCAGGTGGTTTTGTCTGCATGTCGAGAGGTGACCACACAGGAACAGCAGGAGATGAATACAAGAAGGATCTGGAGAGAGAGCTGCAGCTGATGGAGGAGGAGGGACTGTGGAGTCCAGCAGGACTCAAACTGGCCGACAGATACATGGAGGACCCACATCTGAGCCCTGAGAGAGTCAAGGAGCTGCCGAAGGAGGAGCGATACATCACTGGGACCGTTTACCTGTACAAGAAATCCATCCTTTCAAATTAAATGATCAAACAGAAATCGTGAGATTCAGTTACAAAATGTGATTATACATGATGCAATGCAATCCGATGTAACGTATGTCAGTAAAAGATATTTCACCACAAATATGTTGAAATATCATGTTTTATCAGCTTAACTTGAGCCCATTCCCACAGTTTTCACTCTTCATACATCATTTCTGCTCAAAATGTAAGAGACTTTCACATTCGGCCTCAACAGTCTGAACGTGACCGTAACTCTAAGCAACTGCCCCATAATCAGACATGTTAACGGTGACCAAAGACTTTGTGGAGGCAGCGAAGAACACCAGTTCTCTAACATGTTAGACAGTAAACACACAAGCTTCACACCAAGTGTTCATCAGAGGGTCCTCATTCCTCATGTAAAATATCTCAGCAATATAAGTTACGGTCCCTCATCTTTCATACATTATTAGTTTTAAACTTTCAAAGTCAGCAAAGATACTGAAGGTCTTCATACAGCTCTTAACTAAGATGAGCTAAATATCAGCATGTTGGCTCTTCTCGCAGGTTTCACTTATAAAATGAATTAAGGTCCCATTCTAATGTCTGTTTTACAGCCATGTGTGTGCCTGCCCCCCCCCATCACAATAGACCGGATGAGGTTTGTTTTCCACTCAGATACCAGTTTATTTATTTTAGCTTCCACCTTCACGTGTTGTCAGGTTGCACGTGTTGTCAGGTTGCACGTGTTGTCAGGTTGC